TCTTTCAGTGGTTCATTCAATCTTAGTTATGCATGTAGCTAAATTGATTAGCAATTTACCTATTCACATATAAATTCTCATGAATGCTGCACCTAGTAACTGGAGCAGATTATTTAATTTCCTGCATCGGGGAAGCTTTTGCTTTTACCATTCATCTTAGTTAAGGAAGAAACAAATTGATATTGCTAAAGTTATTCAAAATGCTTGCTATTAGCTAGGATCTTCCCACAAACAAAAATCAGAAGATGGGAAGCTTTCTCTGCTGGCTTCCTTCCAGCGTTCTTTCTCCTTAAATTGGTCTCACTAGAAAAAGGATATTTTGTGACACAATAAAAATATATGTTGAATAGATTGTTTTAGGTTTGTCATGGTACATTAATTGTCATGTTAACTCTTATTACAAGTAAGGGGTTTCTCAGAATTATGGTAGTTCCCAAGTTAATATTAATACTTCAGTTTTGTGACGAATTTAGAAACAACATGTGCATAAAATGAGTCTAGCAGAAATGTAAATGTTGAGATTGATGAATGGAGAACATGATAAAAAAATGAACTGATTAAGAGGAACAGAACAGAATTGTTTCAAAAGGTGATAAAATGAGGAAAAGTGACTAAGGTGGTTTGATAACATGCAGAGAATACCATGTTCAGCACCCCATGAGAAGAACTAATTTGTCAATAAGTACCAGAGGGAGAACGAAATTGACATGAATGAAGTGGTGGGCGATGATTTAGGGGTCCATGATTTGAAAATGGACATGACACCCAATAGAATGGAAAAGTGGAAGACCCCATATATATAGTTGGGTGAAAGCTTAATTGAGTTGAGTTGGGAGTTGAGCAATCACCAAATTCATCTAGGACTTGTTTGGGAGGGCTGAAGTTTTCGTTGAGCTGCTTCCACAGAGCGGTTTCTGTGGTAGAAGCTTCTACGGAAAGCCCTTTTTTTGGCCGAAGAATAGTAAATTTGGGCTTTCTGGGATTTTTCCCCCCAAACAATGCTCATTACTTATACACTGCTCAGGTGGGGCCCACTATAGGAAAGTCCTCCCAAACAGGCACCTAAAAAATTGTGCGGTCATAGAGCTGATATGGACTAGGGAAACAATTGCATGTGATCAGTTTAGAGAGTCCCTCCCCCGTTTAGATTGGGCACGTAATTCCTCCACATGCAAGAAACAGGTCATGGTTTTCGAACTGCTGTTGACTCGGATGGTCAGACCGTTCGGCCCGGGAATCGTTCAGGCAATCAGTTCCGTTTTACCTTAAACCCGGTCTCTGGTCAAACCCTTGAATCAGTCAATGACCCATTGACTCGGGCAGTCGAACTGTGGACCCATCAACCCATTCAACGGTTTTGGCCATTTTTTATTTTTCATTATTTTTTTATTTTTTTTCAGAATGGGCCTTCCGTTTGAACTGGACGATCGAACCATCAACCTGAAAACCAGTGGCCAGAATAGTTCCGTTTCCATCCAATTACAAAAAACCAGTCCCTGTTTGTTTCACATATATAAAGTATGAAAGTACCATCTGTACCTAGCTAAATGTTCAATGTGGAAACAGAAAAGATATCTTTATCCGATCTTTTTTCTTTTTTCAACAAACTTTTGCAAGAGATTTTGTTTTATTCTATTCTTTTTTCATGTTTACAATTACTAACTATGCTGTAGGGCACAATGTATGATTCACTCTCCTTTCAATGAAGGTACCTCAAGAAGAAGAAGAAGAAATGGAGGTACCTCAATTTTCTTAATCATGGGCCCGACTTTTAATGGGCTTAATACTTTGAAGAAGAAGAAGAAGAAATGGAGGTAACTCAGTTTTCTTAATCATGGGCCGGACTTTTAACGGGCTTAATACTTTATAGGACAAATAAACAATTTAGTGAATAAGGCCAACATAGCTCAACGCTTCTAACTCCTGTCTGGCAACCCTTGGAAGATGCCCAGAAAACACCCATTAACTCTGTTGCCCATGAGGCCTTGACCAGTAAACTTACACCAAATGTACCCTCTCTTTGAGCATTTAATATTATACAGTTTTTAATGTTTTACGTTCAACAGTGAACAACATTGAACGATTCATTATAAACAGTGTCATAGATGAAGCATCTCACTCCTTCAAGACACAGGCAGGTCATTGAGGTTTGTGGGTTCCAAATGGACAGATCCAAGCATTCAAAACATACAAAGTAGGACCCAATTTGGGCCGTACCAAAGTCAGGCTATTTCAATCTGTTGCATTCAAAGCCCACTCAAAACAAACTTGATGTATTTCTTAATTATTATACAATTTTGAATGTAATATAACATTCTCATCCGGTTGGAGCTTTTAAATTGAATCCCACCTCATATAAAATGGCCTACAAAGTAAGCTCATGACCCATTAACTGGCCTAAGCTGAAATCAAGCCCTAACAAGGAGAGCCATTCTTAAGTCCAGATGGGTTGTCTAGAACCATTGATATTCTTCTGAATATTCATTTATAGTCAAACAGGCTTTCAGAAAAAAAAAAGCTTCAATTGGATTTCCCAACTGGACCAACTAGAACACGAAAAAGCTTCTATCAAGGGCCTTTTGGTAAAATTCTGTTTCCAATTACTGCAACACCCCCAACTGCTGTTGGTGAGTATATGTGAAAGTGGATCATCAGAAGGGCAAAATCTCTGTGGGGCTCGGTTATAAAAGAATACTTACCTCAAGGAAGCTAAGAATAAGGTTGTGTTTGGCTTGACAGAACATAAGTGATGAGACTGAAAGGTGTAAAATTCCTTAAGAACTCTCCCTCAACTTTGGGGCTTCTCTTGTTCTTTGTCAAGCCAAACACAGCCTAAGATGAACTTTACCTTAATTTCTATTACCATGCTTGATTTGCTACTGTAAATATGGCAACTGAATTGAAGTCTACATGTTCAACGTACAAGAAATTAAATGAATAGATCTGTAAAGTTCCCTTTGGAGTTTGGACCACTCTACCTTTTTTGACTACCACGACCGTAAAATCTATAGAGGGAAATGGGTAAATTTTAAGTTGTCCATTGAAGGAAGATATTTGTCAATTGAATAAGGAAATCAACTTAGTATAACCATTTGATTTGCTTGTCATCATGGTCATGTGATGACTAGCTATACATTTTTCAGATATCAGATGTAACCCTTAAATTTGGCAATCTGGACGAGTTCCCAACCAGGGATAGAGATTCTGTAGACAACATTTGTTTTGTAACTCAGTTGCATTCAATTGTATTCTCAAAAGCAAAGACAGAAACAGAACCAGACAACTAAAAACCAGATATAGAAAATGGATCTGACACTCTTCAGTCTGATCAGTTGGTCCTAAACCCATTTTGTATAACTCTTTAGCCTTTCCCCTTACTAAACCATGTCGTAAAAGAATCTAGGGCGTTTACAGTAGGCCATATGGCGTTTTCATGGAAATGGGTTTGTATGTTGTTCAATGTTCAAGGCCCAAATGAAGAAAAAATACAGTAAACCACTGCCACTATCATTATCATCACCACCATCAATGCTGGTACTAATTAAGCCAACTTTATCTGTTTAGTTTAGTTTTTAGGGATCAATCTGTAGTTGAGCTGTGTTCAACAAGTAGCTATATCTCTTTTTCACCATCAGAATAAACCATATAATATGAGTCAAATGTTCTTTCCATACATTCTACAACCACCACCTTTAAAGTTAAATACTTTCTCTCTCTCTCTCTCAGGGATCATCCATACTGATAAATTCAATATAGATAATGCCACCAAGAAGACCTTCTATGGTACAAGTTCAGCCGTGTTTTCTGGCTTCGGGAAAAAAAAAGTTCAGCCATATTTTCCGGAGTTTCCTACAATTCGAGTTTCAGATTTTTATTCAAAGTTCACCAGACAAATATTACTTAATTCATCTTTTTCTTCTAAAAAAGCCCCCATGGGCAGCTTTATATTAGCTGAAAGTTGCCACATAAGCAGAGGGCAGAGGATGATGTGGCTATCAGATGGAGATTTTTTTATTTTTGGGTGGGGATATTGTTCAAGACACCCCAATAATAACTGCTGTTGAAAAATAAAATAAAATAAAGTATGAAATTATGAAAAGCAAAGAAATAATTATAATTACTATAACCACCTTACAAATACAAAAAGGGAAAGAAAAGAGTAGTCAGGTAAAAAGGGAAGGATGGCATTAAAGGAAGGTTTGCACATGGTCCGAGAAAAGAAAAGAAACGGAAACTCTTCCACTCGTTCAAACTCCGTTGGTCGTTTTCTCTATGGATTTAGTGGTGAAAGAAGATATATCAGTGACTACACAGAGTTTTTTTAACATATAAATAGCACTTAACTGAAGTCGTCTAATATGGTCTCTGCATAAATAGAAAGATGCTGCTACTTCTTTGGCTCCTGATTCTGATGAGAGTGAAATATGAGGGGAGAGAAATAGAGAGGGAGATAGAGAAAGATGAAGAGGAGTGTTTGTGTTGTTCAGTGTTGTTGTATCTTGAGAGAGACGAGTCTGTCTGTCATTAACCCTTACTACTGTGGCACTGAAAAACATGATGTTTCATAAAACATTTAAAAGAAACAACAGGCCCAGTAATGAAAAGGACTGTCTGAATCAGAACCCCCCCTCTCATCCCCCATCTCTCTCTCTCTCTCTCTCTTACTTTTTACAGATGCATTTTAAATTCAACTTGTAACTTTAGGTCAGTACCCACTTTGAACACCCTTTCCCATTCTCTCCTCCTTGTCCTACATACAAAGTTCTCCAAATAGCTAGATCTGGCAGAAAATCTATCACTATAAATGAATATCAGAAAATTGATTACAAAGAAATGAATATCAGAAAACAAAAAATGAAATAAAAGAAACCAGCTTAACTTAATCCGTTACTCTATTTTTGGTATTAGGTAACTTGCTTGGTAATATAACAGTACTATTTTAAGCCCAGAACAAAAGTTAATCAAGGACGGAGCAGAAGAACATCCACGGATAGAGAGGAGACGTCTGCATGAGAAATTTTCTGTAATCATAACCAAAATACAAACAGTTTATGAGAAAATTGACTGAAAAACAAAAAGCTAATCCATCATGGTGGCTTCCTTTCCCTTCCTTGAAATAATGAAAAAATAACAAAACCAACACAACGTCGGAGGTTAAAACACCCCCTTAATCAACATCACCAACGATAATTACAGCACCCCATTTGGTTTAGTAACCGGTCGATAGAAGAAAAAGGTAGTCTAGAGAGAGAGAGAGAGAGAGAGAGAGAGAGAGAGTGAGTGAGTGAGTGAGAGATAGAGATCTAGAGAGAGCTACGTTTTGGATAACTTTGCTTGATGAGTTTTATTATCATTCTCTCCCTCTCCTTCTGTGATAGCTGAAGACATGTAACTCATGACGAGGGAGTTCTCATCGGGAGGTGCCGTTAAAGGTGAAGCTTGGAACTGCTGTTTGCAGGAATGGCAGGTGATTTGGAGGATGGTAGAATTAATTTGCTTCGTTGCATGTTCCCTCAGAATCTGGGCTTTATCAAGTTCAGCTTGTGCTTGTTGCCTGATTCTCTTGGCATTTGCGAATTCCTGCTCAGCTAATTCAATCTGCCGTTTTGCTTGCTGTCTTGCCTCTTCAGCAAAGGCCTTTTCTGCCATGGCCAACCTTAGCTGCTCCCTTGCCTGTTCTTTCAGTCTAGAAGCTGCCAAAGCCGGTTCTTCAATGGTTGTCTTCTCTCTGGGAGAGTTTCTATCTGCATCTTTTCTCAAACTGGCATTGTTTGAATCAATCTTGTCGCCATGGTCACATGACCCAATTGAGAGCTGCAGCTGGGTAGCATGGTTTTCGTCTGTATTTGGGGAAACCGAGGTATCGAAGGTATTTGTGAAATAATTCGATGACGGTAACAGCTGCAGTTCCAGATTGTGGCGTTGTTCCACAGTGGAAGGATTATTCCGTTCTGGACATAAGAAGACGGGTCCCTTCGGCTTTTGCATTCTCAATCCAGGCCAAGGAGCTGTACTGAAATTTGTGTCACTTGATGGGCTCGGGCTTGAAGCTGTTCGAGACAGGCAAGCTGCCGATTGCAGTGTCTGCAACTCAGTTCTGAGACGCCCAGCATTACAAGCGTCTTGGTGTTCAATGAAACTCTCCACCCTGATAAGAGAGAAAACAAATGATCTAATCAAACCAATCAGCTTACGGTTTGATTAAATGGGTACTTCAAATGGATGTTGGAAGTTGGAACACAAAAATTTTAAAAAACTGGAACAAGAAAACATTCAAGTGGTTCCTGATGATCTTCCTGTTTGTCTTGTAGAAGATATGTTTAACCAAAAAGCTGCAGCCATCTTAAAATGAAATATATATAAAAAAAATCAATAAAAAAACTAGGTTTTCGCTAGACTGGGTTTGGATTTTGGATTCAAACTGAAGATGCGAGGAAAATCAATAAGAAAAAGATGAAAAGTAAGTTATTCATCAACAAAGGACATTTGTGTTAGAGGAGTTGAAACGATCACGACAACCAAACATTATAGGAGATCCTGATCTTAAGAACTATGGCTTATCAAGTATTACTGAACTGTTGACAATTTAACAAGGTATTCTCCATCTGCTGAGCTTAAGTTCTCGGGTTTGAATTTAATTGGATATAGAGAAAGAAAAGAAAAAAGAGAGAAACCCAACAAGAAACTTCGATCAAGCGAGCGAGCGGCCTTTACTCGTTAGTATTAATTCTAGGTGGGTGCTGGCAAAAGGAAGAAGTCTTGGAAAAAGAAAAACTCAACACAAGGAAAACAACGAAGAAAGCAAGCAGAACTGTCTTTTCATGTTTTGCTTCTTTGGGTTAGGGGTGTTGGAGGCCCTTGACTCAACAAGGGTGGTGAATGAGGAGAACGAAACCGTAACAGGAAAATCAATCAAAACCCTCTGCTTGGTACGGTCGCACAGTTGATCCTGTTGGAGGATTTAATTAACTATCACAAGAGAAAAATCAGTTTAGATACCTGGAGAACACACGGCCACAATCACAAGAATGGCCTCTGGTACCACAGGTCTTAAGGTGAGCCTTATAATCCGATTGAACAGCGTATCCTTTGGAGCACTTCTCGCAAACCCATTGCTTGTGATTGCTGTGCTTCCTTCTGAAATGCTTCTTTATGCCGACGAGATCGCCCAGTGCGTGGCAAGGGTCATGGTGCAAGCAGCTGGGTTCTGGGCAAACAAATACTCTCTTTCGAACCTCTGGCGTCTCCCTCTTGAGTAGCTTCCATGGCACCTTGTGCCGACGCCTGTGCATCTGAAGGTTCTGGTCTCTCTGAAATCCCTGATTGCAGATCTCGCAAACATAGCGGTCCGACTCCAACAACGTCTTTGGCGATAGAGAAACCACCTCTGCATCAGGATCTAAACCCAATACAATACAAATGCACACAAAACAAAGGTAATCACTAACCACTGAAACCCAATTCCAAAGTAGCAAACTCATCAAATGGAGCAAATAACCGATAAAACCACAATTAAGAGGAAAAAAGAGATTGAACCCATATATCGAGGTTCTCACCTGGTGTTCCGGCTGGCCTTCTTTTTCTCTTACTGTTGTTATTCCCATTTTCTAAGCAAGTAAATGCCTCAGAAGAAGGAAGACTCGGAGAAGAATTGTTGGCTAACATGGGAAAAAAATTTCACTTTTGGTTTGTGGTTTTCTCCTCAAATATCCCACCAAAGAGATTCCTCACACACTTTCTTCTTTCTTCCTTCTTTTATTCAGCTGTTGATATTAGCGTTGTTTGTCTCAGACTAATAATATAACCAATGGTAGGGAATGGAGAGAGAGAGAGAGAGAGAGATGAAGAGGGAGATATAGACTATTGAGAGAGGTAGACACCACTAGAACATGAGGAAAAGCTCTTTCTTTCGGCCATCAGCTTTCTTTCCTTTTTAAGCTTTCAACTTTTCTATCAGCTTTCCTTCATCCACTCTTCACCTCCATCGGGTTCTTGTATTGAGTACTCCACCAATCCACCTTAATAAGCCTCATCACAGGAGATATAGAGATAGAGATATAGTGAGAGAGAGAGAGGGGGGGGGGGGTCTGATCCAATCAAAATGCTCGAAACTTGAGCCCACACTCAGCATTGGGACAGGGAAGAAAAAAACATCCTTGCAAAGAAACAAAGCACTCATAATTCATCACACAGTAATTTGCATGCATAAATGCAGCCCAGGCCCAAAATACACGTGAGCGCTCCCATCTGCTCTACCTCACTCCCTATTTTTATTGCTTCCTTCTTGGTCAATTAAATCTCAATTTCATTTGTTTGCAGTCCAGATCCATTGACCAAAGTGCCCTCTGTTAGTGACTGTACAGTAACTCTGATTATTAATTATAGGAAGCAGCTTTTCTAAAGTTGAAACTGAAGACGTTCTGTCCTTTTCAATGTTGTTTCCGTCATTTCACCTGCTTTCCTCGCATCTCCCCATAAATTGCAAAAAACCCATTTTCTAATCTAACTCATTTGATTAGACTCCACTCCTTGTAATTAGCATAATCCTGGTGTAACTAAATTATCCCAACAATATATATTACCCCAAAACAGGAAAAAAATTGATTTTTTTGATGCACACTGTACAATATTATCTACCAGATGCATCTCTCTCAATCAATCAATAATTCAATACTGTTGGGTGTTGATAACCCAATTCAAGAACCACCCTTTATATATTAGATAGTCTTGATGGGGAAGATGCATATCCTATGGTCAAGGTTGTGATCTACCCATCAATATCCTCTTTCACAAAAAAATGTGGCCTCTTGTTTGGTGGCTTCCTTCAAAAAAAGGTGGACCCATAAATTGGTATCTTTAAAAAAAATGGTATATAAGCTCAACAGTTTTGGAAAATTGAAGAAAAATCTCTTAAATAAACAAAGAAAGAAAGACCCTAACGGATGACATATAGTTAATATAAAAATAAAAAATGCCAAAAAGTTTAATTTAAAAAGAAAAAAGAAAAGGGAAAGAGCGCAAGGTTAGCTTGTTTGTCATTGATAATATAATAATCAGAAGAAAGCATGAAAAGCAGCTTAACATGTTTTGTTTATTTGTTCGAAGGAATGGGGAGATGATGGGAGGTGGATTCTCAACACATGCAGCATCAGAACAGAATATTGTTGGCAATCATCATTCCCAAGCGTTCTCGATCCCGAATCTAATAATCCCTTCTTAAATTAAAACAAGAAGCACAATAAATTAAGTAGGTTAAGACCTGTCCAAACAAGATCCAAACTCTCCCTCTCTCTCTCTCTCTCTCTTAATTTTATATTACTTGCAACTTTACATAATAGATGCAAATGGGTTTCCTAAGAATGGAACCAAAGGCATCCCAAGAAGTAATTCCTGTCCTTTTGTTAAAGTATTTTTAATTATTTTTTTATTGATTTAATAACTTGTACTCTCTGGGATGTCTATAGACCTATTGGGACTCCCAATCCACTGCGCAGGAGCTGGGCCAATCATTCTATACCAGGTCATCCTAATATTCTGGGTCCCATGTATATGGGAGCTGATGTGGTGTGTCATGATTGGCCCAGTATTTTCAAGTACAACTGTAGACGATACCAACTAGACTATTGGAGAATGGAGGTATACTATTACTATGCAGAGTATAATATCAAATCAGAGAGAGAGGCATGAGTGTTGGGTGCTAAGGGTATCTGTGTCCCTCAATAATTTTCATGATGGGTAGGAGAGGTAATGGCCCTGCTACCGGACTGCCACCTGATTACTTTGTCTGGTTTATATTTGTTCGTATTATAAGAAGTGAATGTAAGTATGTATGTATGCAGTTGGTTTAACACCTAAATCCTTCAAACAACAGGATCTCTCTTTCTCTCTCTCTCAGAGGCGTTTGTTTGTTTGTTTTAGAAATTTTTTGTGGGATTTATTTTCTTTTGCTTCTGTGGGGTTTTGAAAGTGAGAAGAGAAAAGAAGAAGCTGACAATATGTGATGGCGGTGTCGGAGTCTGAAAAGCCGACGTTCCTTCCCTTAGGAAAAACAAAAATTAAAAACAAAATTTAATGAAAATATAAAGAGAAGAAGGAAGAAGGATAGAGTGAGTAGCTCAGAAGTCCTCATGTCCTGAAAAGGCAGTCAGTACACTTCAACTGTTGTAAGCGGTTAATACCAAAATCAAAAGAAAGAAACACTTGCAAGCGGTGAAGGTGTAATAAATACCCATCTTCAGAAAACACATATAACAGTAGACAAACTACTACACATTTCTTGTTTCTCTTTTCAGCCAGGTGGAGTGATGATGTGGCCAATGGCCGGCCAATCTGAACATACAATAAAGACTCTGATTGGCTATCTTCACTTCTCCTGAACATGTGTCAGCTTTATATATATATATATATATATATGTAACACTAACACCACCCCACCGTTTATTGGACTTGTCGCCAATAGCTAGATAGTGTTATCTGTTGTGTTAGAACTTAGAAGAGAGAGTAAACAGTGAAATTGACTTTCCAGGAGAAAAAGAAATAGAAGAGAACAGGGAAAAGGGTTTAATCCAATTCGGTCATATTTCTGGGGCTGGCCAACAGCTAGGAAACCTAGCACAGGATAGAGAGCCCAGAAGGCAGCACCTGGAGCCCTTTAGGCTTCCAATTGTTCTACCAAGATCAAAAGTCCTTAGGCCTCTCTACTTTCTTCATCTCTCTCTAAGCTGGCTCCAGTAGTAGTTATCCTATTAAACGGGAATAATGCTAGCTAGAAAGTACCCAAAAGAGAGCTCGAGGTACTCGATCAATGTAAAGATATAGTTTGAAGTTAAGATTACAGAAATTATAAGCTGCTATATAGCTCCGTGGGGACTGGGGGTGAGGTGAAACAGGGAACTAGCTAGGTGAATTCTAGTCCCTGTATTACTATTATAATAAGACCAAAATCATTTAGTACAATCCAAAACTTTGCACTTGCTATATATATAGCCGTAATGCATGTTATCATTGTCTTCCTCGTTTCCTACCACTTTCCGTTATCGTCTCTTTATGAATACAGTATTCATTGAATACAAGTGTAAGAGAGACTGAAAGAGGCGACCCAGATACTATTTGTCTGAGAGAGAGAGAGAGAGAGAGAGAGAAAACAGGTGGATCGAAATTTCCTACAGCCTTCGACAATCGTCTCTTTATAAGAGGAAGCTACAAACATTGATAAGGATAGCGTCGAAATTAAGGGAGACGGATTTGAAAAAGAAAAACGTGTTGTCTGAATAACCATTTCATTTAATATTTATTCAATCTAATAACTCTAACTTAAATACCCATTTCGTTTACTGACAACCCTCATCCTTCAATTTCCACTTGTTTGTTGTTGTCACTTGAACTAATTAAGTACGTCCTTCTCCATGTCAAAGTTTGTTAATCAATTGCAGCTTACGCATGTCAAAATTGCTGACATTGATGGGTCAATCGTGTATTAATTAATTGTCACTTTATTAACATTATTCATGAAAATTGTCACATTATCTTGTTCACTATGAATGAACTTAATAGGAGTAAAATATTATATTTTAATTTAAGGGGGTGGCTAGCTAGCTACCACAAGAAAATAGTTATTGACATCAACAACTTATCGCCATTGAATGTTGAATGAACTTGGAAATTGGAATTGGATTAATTACCTTCTCCTAAAGTAAGATTCCTAGCTTTTTTTGTTTTTTTTTAATTAAACATCCACTTTGTTAATTATTATTCTTAATTTCTTATTATATAAGGGTAACTCCACGTCAGTCTTAAGAAGAATCCCATGCAAACCCATAACATTTAGATTTTAGAGGCGTACAGAGTTCTAAAACATTATTGTTTCCTATCTTCATGTATTATATTCTTCTAGTTATATATTTGTATACTGATCTGATAGGAGCTATATATCCTAATTCCTAACCATGTGTATCTTCTTCTCTCATAATAAATGCAAGATGGGTCATTGGTGATTGTATACAGCCAGCATGTTTCGTTTTGTTTCTATTATTCGTCACTCTTATGATTCTTCTTAGTGGCTCTAAAACCCTAAATGTGGGTACATGATTAGCGGATCTGATTGTATTAAAACAATTGATTTCAAAATTGTACTTATGATAAATATTTCTTTTTTCAAGCAAGAAGGAACTCAAATGATGGATATAATGATATGGCAGGTTGGTGGTAATAATTATTGTTCCTAGATGCGTTTGGTTGCGGTCCAAATCTTGACCTGGTGCAAAATTCGTACCCAGTTCAGTTTTGCTTTCATTTGTTTGTACTCCCCATCTCTTTTGCACTCAATGGTACTCTGGCAGTTCAAATTTTGCACCATTTTCAATTCCTCCAACTCAATTCTTTCTCATATAAAGTAGGGATTCTATCATCTTGCACCCTACCTTTTTTTTTTTTGTTACACCGATATGCTCTATCACGTCATCTTGCATCCTGCCTTATTCCTATACATACAGCCCCTCCTACACAAACAAATAAGACAGTCAAATCTGAAGCAAAACCAAACTAGAATTTTCCTCATCCTTTTGCACTCCCATGCCTAGCATTTACACTGTTGCAAATGACAGTTATTCTGCAACCAAACACAGACTAATTATGGATCGATCTCAAGGCTCTTTTCAGCGATGGAAGGGTATTAATTATGCTAGTCAACATATATATAGCAGCTGAGAAATTATAAGTTTTCTTTATTTCTTGTTAAAGACATTATTCTATATTATGTTTATCACAATAAACAAAGAGATACAGCTCTAGTATGAAGCCTTCTATTGATTAGTGAGAGAATGTAACTCAAAAGAAATAATAATAATAATAATAATAATTAACTTGTTAAATGATTTTTAGGTTACTGATCAACTTCCTCTGCTGAAATTTGGTGTGGATAATTAACTACTGGGGGGGGGGGGGGGGAGGGTTCTGGCTCAATTGGTAAAGTCTCTGGTACGTAGTAGACCTTCAATTTCAAACCTAGGGTTAAATCCAGCGTCTAATCAT